ATTCTTAAACCAAACTTCCACCTATCGAGGCCTGACCTTCAATTCCTTAGTAAAATCCTTTCTTTGTTTAGAATTCAAAAAACTGTGCTGCTTGAAGCTTTCCTTCAAAAGAGCCGATTAAGCCTTACTTAGTACTTGAGATTTTTCTGGCCATGCCTATCAGGTGGGCTTCGCCGGAGGCCGTGAAATAGCGGTCATGGCAGCTCCTGAGTAGGATGACTTGGGGACTGGTCCGACGAGCTCGAGCATCCATCGGGCCTTTCTGACGAGCCGTTGCGGCTTTGCCAAATAGCCTGTTTGTCATCATCGACCACGAGGTACTTGTCGAGATGACTTTTGAGCCAGACTACTTTGGCCTTGCTGAAAAATTTCATCTCATTTCATGAGATAAGAGCTGTTCTTTTCTTTTTCTTTTTTTTTTTCTTTTGTTCTAATTAAAAGGTTTTGTTTTGGATGGTACAATATGTTGGTTTTTTAGTTCTCTTTTGATATCAGACATTGTGATTTTTTTGTTTCAATAACGATTTGTAATATTCTAAATTCTGATACAGAAGATCTTCTATTAGACGCAACTATAGAGCATACTCTCGTCATATTATAAATCGAGCTCTAGAGGGCTGAGACTTGTGCTGATAACGGGTTATAAAAATAGAGAGAAAGAGAGTATATAGAGAAAATGTTTCTCTTAGGTGCGATTTTCATTATAACTGAAGCTTCTATTTATAGGAACTTCTGATGTCACAACCGTAATAATACAATTACAGCGGGGACAAAATAGTCATTCACATACATTATTTTATAATAAATATTTCACAACATCATCTCAAAACACCTTGAGTAATGCATGATACGAGGGTAAACCTACATACTCAATATTCGCTAGAGAAGAGCTTTTCAAGAACCCATTAATTTCCATAAGTCAAATCCAAATCCATGACGAACGAAATTAATAGTCGGCCCCCGTTTGGCCATGCAATAAAATTCAGGGACTCTGAAGAGGGTTAATAAACTTTATCGCATTCTAAGTGAATATCATTTTTTGATCCTAATGTCATCAAATTTTATTATACGTCCCCGAGGGGAGGCCAGCACGCTCTCATAAGACTTCCTATAATCGTCTAATTAGAAATTTGTCCTAGTAATTTCCTAATATTAATCTTAGTGATGTCACCTGAGGGGGAGCCCATACTTCAATTAATTGATTTACCAACAAATTAAAAATTGAGGCCTTAGGAATTTTAAAATTAACTTTAATTTAAAATCTCTTCCCAAACTTAGTATTTATTTAATGAGAATTTTTAAATATTTATTCAATTCTAAATTAATCCCATGCAAAAGTAATAGTCAATTAACATGCAAAAATAAATAACTAATTAATTGGCATAATAAATTTAAATACTCTATTATGACCAATAATTTTTTAGTCTCCTTAAACAAGGAAACCTTATCAGATTCTTTCATTGTCCAACTGGAACTTCCACTGTAGTAGAATCCTGATAGATATTGTACTTCTTGCCCAACAAGAAAACCGTCTGCCACCAGCTGCCGCATGCATGTCCGCCGCTGCCGGTTTGTCGAAAAAACTTGCCTACATTTTTTTTTGTTTTCTCGCGTTTCGCACCTCCGACTGGGCTTCTCAACGGCCGGCGTTCACCGCTGCAACGCCGTCACCTGGCCAGCCCATCACGCGGCTCCCGACAACGAACTGATGAGCCACCTGGGCTGCCGCGGTGGCTCGTCGGCAGTTCCTCTAGCTCGATTCCGGTCGATTCTTCGAGGTTCGTCGATCTTTGTGATCCTCTAGTCATCAACACATGATCACAACACGAAAAATATAATATAAAATATTACATACTCCGATCCTAGACAACAAATGAATGTACATATTTTCTAAACAAATAATTAATTCTATTCGGTCAACGTTCGGGCTCATAATTATTACAAACATTCATCCATCAGTTCCTCGAATGTCCGTGGTTTTAAAAGCAAATTAAAACCATTCATCACATTCAACAACATTCATCAAACACATATACGACCATAATAGTGGATTAAACTAATTCATGCAAAACCGAGTTATGCGAATATAGTCCAACATATATGGCTACGTAATACATCTTGTCAAATAAAGTCGTAAAAATTTAGTCTTTGTACAAAACGAACTAATTAAGTGCTATGCTACCACTTTTTGGGATCTATGAGGATCTCATTATGTACAAATCACGAATTCAATAGCAAACGTAAACTTATGCGCAATGGATCTAAAGGTTTGACGTATAAAACTTATGGCTTAAAATGTATCTAAATATGACGGAATCGGGATGACCTGGAACAGCACACGAGGAAGCTGGAATCGATCGGGTGGTGGGATCGGCGGTCGTGTGGCGTGTCAGGTTGCGCTGGTCGTGTCACGGGGCTAGCTAGCAGCGGTCGGCGGATCTTGGCTTTCGGATCGAGGTTCGTCGACTCTGATAGATGATAACGATGTCTCGATTACCTTCGGGATCTTCTACTATATCACTCTTACACCTCTTCAACTTGTAGCGGTGGAACAACAAGAAGAAGATAAAGCTCAAACAGAAAACTGAGAGATAGGGAGAGCCTAGGGGCGTGCGTCGTGTATATTACACACGTAGGAGAATGTTGATCTCTTCTACTCTTTCCCATGAGCTTAATAATGTATATATAAAGCTACAGTAGGGATTCTTAGGAGAACAAGAATAGGGCTTCTTAAGTAATAGGCTAATCGTGGGCCTGACCCACTCCTCGAATTACTTAAATAATATTACGGTCCACTAACATAATATTATTGCACTCCCTTTTTCCTATCTCAAATTACATTTGAGACTCCAATAATAATTTTCCAAATTATCTCCACATGTTTAAGATATAATGCCATTAATTAATTCGATTACTGACATTTAAGAATTAATCTATATATTATATTTCCAAAAGCTAGCGCTCGTTCATCACATTATTATTATGTCGAAATTTAATCCACCTACAGGGTTTAGCATAACAATCCTTCGTGAACGCATTTCTGGGACATCATCAAACTGACGCACATGGTGACTGTAAATATCCTAACAGCACATCATACATACAACAATATTACCCAAGACAGTAAGAATATTAGTCCAGCGAACTGAACCTCACCCAAGGGAATCAAAGGAATATGTACTTCATATATAAATATATATGTATATATGTTTAATATCGGGTTCAGAGAAATCAGTAATTAACTGAGGCCTAGTTCGTTTACGAAGATCAATATAAAACAAACTTCTTCTCTCTGGGATCATGTTCAATACGTAAATATACTAGTGCAACTAATCAGTCAAGACCAACTGTACCGTTGACACTACAACCGTTCTGATGGGGTGCTCATTTTCATTTAGGTTGTAAACCACAATTACTGTTTGACTAGAAACTGATAGAATGATCTTCTGTTCACCCCATGATGACTCATTCTATCTAAGTGCAATACAACAAAACATAGAACTTGCTTAATCGAACATGATTCTTATTTATATAGGGATAAAGTGTAATATCATCCAAAACCAAACTTTCAGTATAAAACAATAACGCCGTACACAACTCTAAAAACAACAACAATGATTCTTGTCCACACACGTGTCCCTTATAAAAGAAGATAAAAAAAAAAAGAGAGAGAGAAATAAAAGTCAACAAAATTTTCATGGCCATCAATCGATCCAGCAGGTCCCTCTATATTATAGTGGATGGTTAATGGTCTCTTACATTGATCGGGCAGATTCCTATTAGCATTTATTTGTCTCTTACATTACATTATAATTATCTCGAAATGCACACACACACACACACACCATATAATTTGTATGGTTAATGCTCGACTTTTGGATTGAAACGAGTGGATACAAGAAAAAGTCACCCCCCTTTCTAAAACTAAATTAAATTAAATACACCACTACAAAATTATAACAACCCAAAAATCAAAATTATAACAGAAAATGAGTGGCACTTATGAATGTTACACCAACATATCAACCACTTATCTAAAGCAAAATTAAAGAAGAATAAAAACCCCTTTATAATGGCTGACATCATATACCCATGATATATATATATATATAATGTCTATGAAAATAAAATAAATTAAACTCATTGTTGTGGTAGGGCCAGAGGTCATTAAGGATCATAATTAGGCAAAAATTTAATTTTAATCTGTTTATTTGTCTAAATTCTTTTGTTTAGTACATTAACATTTTCCTTATTTCTAATAGTACGTACGTTACATTGCAATTTATATCACTGTTGAGATATTATCGCGAAAATGGTTCATTATTTTTTTTATTAATGTTCTAAAAATAATACAAATTGCAACATAATAACGTACTGTTTTTTACGAGTAATGTCCCAAAAAATGATACAAATTATAACATAACGTACTATTATTGATTAAGGGAAAGTTAATATATATCAAAAAATGACTTTAGACAAGTAAACGGACCAAAATTGAAATTCTTCCATCATAACTATTATCAAATGAACTCCACCATCCATCCATTTGACAGTATACATATCACCATCAAGACATGCATAAATATAATCACACTACATATAGTCATGTACATATATCACCAACACACAGAGAGTGCTCGACTCGAGTCACACAAAAGGATAAACACGAATTTCACAAACACACGTATTCTTATTACAAGAGACAAAAAGAAAGTAAAGTTAGATATATAGTTAAATATATATGGAGAAAAATAAGAAAGAAGTGATGAGAAAAGGTCCATGGAGTGAAGAAGAGGACGGTCAGCTCGTATTTCACGTGAACTTGTTTGGGGAGCGCCGTTGGGATTTCATAGCGAAAGTTTCAGGTTTGAAGGTTGGCGGGAGACAGGATAGGATACATAGGTAGGCTTGTTTTGGGGATCTTAACTTAATTTCCGAATTGCCGGAAAAGATTAACGGCATGCATGCATGCATATATACATATTGTTGAGTGAGTGCAGGTTTGAAAAGAAGTGGCAAAAGCTGCAGGCTGCGTTGGGTTAATTACCTGCAACCTGGCCTCAAAAGGGACAAGATCACTCCTCATGAGGAGACACTTCTTCTTCACCTTCACTCCAAATGGGGAAATAGGTTCTTTATTCCATCTTTTCTTATAACCTTTTTCTTTTCTCTTTTCTTTTTTAAATAACTAAGGCTTTATTTGGTAGTCAAATAAGCTAGCGTATATCTTATCTGATTAGCTTATAAGTTTCATGTATTCAAATAAGACGTGTTTGGTAGGACGAGCTTTTTTAAAAAACTCGAACTTATCTCATAAGCTTCTTTAGATAGTTTTTTTAAATAAATTAACTAGTTGAATTTTTTGTTCAGCTAGCTTATCAACTAATTTTACGAAATACTTTTATCATATAAGCTAGTTTTTCAGCTACAAGTCATAAGCAAGCTTATGATCAAAAATTACATATCAACTATCAGCTAGATTATCAGCTAGTTTTACCAAACATATTCTAAATATTTGTGACTATCTTGATCGCTGTTTCTTGATAGTACTAATACCTTGACTTAATTAAATACATGCATGTAGATGGTCAAGAATTGCACGGAAACTGCCCGGCCGCACTGATAACGAGATCAAGAACTACTGGAGGAGCCACATGAGAAAAATGGGTCAAGAGAAAAAGAAGGCTCAATCATCCAACTCATCATCCTCAGAGAGTGCGGACGTCAAACGGGCTTCCAATGGGCTCAGTTTGGGTTTGGGCTTGGGAGTTGAAGAAAGCGTGGAAGCTTACTCCATGGAAGAAATATGGAAAGACATCGAGTTGTCCGAGGGGAGCAGCAAGCCGGGTGGTGGTGCCACGTGGGATTTTTGTGGGGCCGAGTCATTGTGGTCCGTTGATGATGAGGACCACAGCCGGATGCTGATGCAGCAAATGGGTGATTACTATTATTCTTTCCCTTTTACCACTCATATATATGACCCTACGACCAAATAGACAATTCAGGTTTTTACATTAGAACATGAGTACTATTGCTTATAATTGGGTTAAACACATTTTGTAAACAGTTCAGTGTATCCATACAGTAAATTTATAGTGTTAATAATAATTTGCTTCATGTTTGGGCTAGTGGGTGTAAAGTATGTTTAGTTGAATGGGATTCATATTGATATTGCATTTGTCTTGTGGTGTAAGGATAAGTTAGAGGGAAATGCTACGGTCCTATTGCGAAATCATTCTGTCGGGGTTTGTAATCGTTACATTATCATGTAACTGTCAGGGATAATTGATCTTATGGTTACAAACCCCGACGGAATGGTTGTAACAAAATCGTAGCATCTCCCTCACTTATAAGGTTGAATGATTGAAGAAAGTTTATGGTCCATTGATTTATGGTGCGTACCTTTTTATTTACTTCTTTGACTAAGATGTTATAATTTAATTAACTTGCGGATGTCAATTCATCGTGTTCAAATATTTTAATTGGACGGTTTGATTGATATTTTAACAAGCTATTCATATAGTGGACTCTAGAATAGAGTGAAGATATGTTACAACCAGGATATAATTGTTATCCATTGTTCGTTTTGTTATCCATGTTACGTTGATTCCTACACAATTACTAAACCAATTGCTTTTAGAAGAGATTAATTAATCAGAATCCTAAAGATGTGATTGGATATAAACTTAAATTATCATCAATATTAATTAATTAAAAATAATTAGTCAAAACTCAAATTTAACTCAACTCTATTATCATCAATATTATTAATATAATTGAATAATCTCAATTAATTATTCTTACACGTCACATCAACTTTAATTCACTATTCACACTCACATAATATTAAGTTAACTAACCATCAATTTCCATCACTATTTTCAACTTTTACTCAGAAACATTTTCCCATATTGCTATAAGTTTGCAGTTCCACTATAAAAATGAAATAGAAAAATCTCTTGCAAAAAGAAGTAAACAAAAAATGAATCGTACGCAACAATATTCAACATTCTCGAACATAAAATTTAAACCAGCAGTACAAAGGAAAGGGAGAATAGGTCATCAAAATCTCTAGAAACTACATTTCCCACAGCACGATATGGATATGTAAAAAGCCAGAGTACCTCTATGCAACTTCAATAGTAGACACTCGAAAACTGCATTATTTTGGACAAACAGCCAAACTCCAATAGTCGTGGTTAATAAAAGAAGCCTAGCACTTTACCTCCAACATTCTTCCTGCGAGCTTCTTCATGATCCATGATCCCAGCTGATGTTGTCAAGACAATGTAACCAAACTGCAAAAGGCAAGAAAATATATGAGATAATGTCACAAATCACTTTGAGGTAAAATACAAATTGATTTTACAGTTACGATACAACAGATGTAGTGGTTCAGGTTAAAGAATGATTTTATACATCCATAAATTAAATCAGTGTCCAACAAACTACAAATCATTGCATGAAACCAGCATGCTCTCATTTCTTTATTGCAGACATTATTCGAATTTTATGAGAAAGATAAGAAGTTGACTGCTTAACAAGACTAAATAAAAATGATAACAGAAAATAAACAGATGCAAAAACCACTTACTTTCCTTCTAAAAATAGTTCATTGATTAATAAATATTGCACCATCTACATTTCAATGAATGTGACAAGCTCATAATATTAAAACAGAGATCTAACAAGCAAGTATGTCCCAAGGTTCAGAAAGCAGGTTAGTTTTCCTTATGTAGAAATGGGGGGACTTCAAATAATAAAGACAAGTAAGATATGTAAAATGAGTATATTAACTTGTTATAGCATCTCCTATATACCTGTCTGGATGGAAGCAGTCTAGCAGTCCAGGGCTCGATTTCCTTAACACCAACATCAAAACGAGGGCTAATGACCCCACATTTGTTGAGTCTTCCATTCAATTCTACCACAATTTTTCCAGCCCTGTGGTCATCAACATACTCAAACTCGCCAATGTATCCTGTACAGCAAGGAATAAACAAATCAAAGAAATCCAAAATTAAAAGAAAATAAGTACCGTATTTGGTACAGTCATACCATGCTTCTGCATCACCAGAAGAAACTTGATGATGACCTTTGAGGAAGGTCGAATCATGACCTGACGTTTGCCCCTCTTCTCGGCATTGTACATGCTCTTCAAAGCATCATTCAAGACACTTACTCTCACCATTTTTCAAGCTAATCTGATTGAATATAACAGAAAATATCAGCAATGATGATAAAGAATGAAATTCAATTATCATACCTAATCATAGGCCACAAACTACAGAATGATAAGCAATACAGGATATAAAGCATCAGACTTCCGTGCAGCTTTACATTTGTCGAACACATAACATCTATCAATTTGTACAGAAGTGCGTAAAATAAATGATGCACAAAGCTACAGAACAGGTTTCGAATGTACGATATGATTCGAAAATTTGAAAGGGTACATAATCTATGAATAAAGAAAAAAAACAACCATACAGTAAAGAAAGTCCAGTGCCAGTAAAATCCTCAACCAATTTTACATCTTATTGCAAACAATGACATATGCACTGAAAATTTGTTTATATACCTCTCAACAACCTAACATCCCCGATATTAAGAGCCCACATACTAAAGTTTCAGAAGCAAAACCCAGAAATATAAAGAACTATCTTTCGTTGGACTCTACTTGTATATGCTATGTTAATCATCCTCAAAGAATGGCCCATTTGAGTATATAAAGCTAGGCCCTCATACGAACAACAGATTATATGAATGTAAATGTGTCAGCAAGGCAACAAAAGTTGAATCTAATCCTCATACGAACAACAGATATTTGGTCTTCCGAGAGATGTACATACATGCTAATACATGCTAATATGCTATAAATGCAACGAGTGAATAAGATAAAGAACGACTCAAAAGCCCTGAACCAGATTCGCATAACCATAATAGACACAACAAGTCCATTGATAAATCATCGAACAATTTGATGTTTCCCTCGCTCAAACTCCGACTAAAACACAAAATATGAACAATATGCAAAAGATATAGGTAATATCAGAACATCTGCAGAGGATATGTTACATTAAGAACGGAATGTTAAAGCAATGTGTACCGGATTAATCAACAACTTTTTCTCCAGGAGAGAAACTGTGAAACTGCGGCAGCCGCTCCTCGGATGTATTTTTCTCTTTTCTGTCAATAGTAAGTGTTAGGGTTTGGGTTTATAAATGTCATTTAATCTTCTTTTTTTTCTTTTTCTTTTTATAGTCTAATCACCAAATTACCCTCGAAAATATCATTTTTTAAAAATATAGTTTTATGCTAACGAAACAAAACTAGTATAGAACCCGTGCGATACACGGACTTTATTTATTTTGATAAATAATAAAATTAAAAGTATTAATAAACAAAAAGTGATAATTAGTAGAGAAATTGTCAAACCATAAATTGTTCCTCATGTAAAAAATATATTATTTAAAACTTTCTTGTACACAACATTATTTGTTTAATAACTGAGCAACTCGTGTCCCCACAAACTTATATTTTCAACCTTTTTCTGTTACTTACACACGAAACTAATCATCGTGACAATATAAATGAATGTTTATCTCAAAAATTTAATCTTTTAAATGTAGTGATCGTGTGTTTTTTTTTTTTTAATTTCGTGATTGAAGGACTTTTTTTATTAATTACTGGTTTGATTCAATATATAACAAATTTTATTGCCAATCGTTTAATTAATTTATGTAAATGCATAAATAAAAAGAGACCTAAACTATGACAAAAATTTCATCTTTTGAAAGCAAATAAATTATAAACATTATCTTTTTAAATAAATAATACAATGATTATAACATTGTATTATCAAAACTCAAGGTATATAAAATTCGTTTTCCATTTCAAACCGATAATGTAGAAAAAAATTCAATTGATGAAATAAATGATATATACAAACCATGATTTTAGAAATCTGTTCAAAATTTTCTTTGCATGAATCCGACGCATAAATCATTCAGCTTATTATTATATTATTAAATTATTTTGAAACATGTATACACCCGATATTTGATTCCATAACAAACGGGAATTGAATCTATCAACTACTAAATCAGTTATTCCATATTAGTTGACAATTAATGCGCTGAGATATGCGATCCCGAGTTGTCAAGGAATACTAAAATTAAGCAATAATTAATACATGACATGAAAAGATTACTAAAAATAATTTAAGTCTAATCTTATTTTATACATAAAGATATAGTATTGATACCATGTACAACCAGTTTAATTTGAAAGAGCTATATTATTATATTATTAAATTTATAATATATTATTTGGCGGAATTATAGAATTATTAATTTATATTATTCTAATGTACAACTGGTATTATATCTGTTGTTAACAACAGTATAAAGGTGATGAGTTCGCGAGCTTCTCTTTGATCTCCATAATGTGTTCCTTCCCTGCGAGTTGTCGGAAATTTAAGTGCGTAATGGAAGATAGAAACAGCGGCTCGGAGCTTGTATAAAGCAGTTCTCCCAATAATAGCGTTATATTCATTGTTGATGTCAAGAACTTTGAAGGTTTCCATGACGAGTTTTGTGACGTGTTTCGCCGTACCAAATCTAACAGGTAGAGTAATCTCGCCAATAGGTCGTGAAATGCTCCCGTTGAACCCTTGTATTTGGTCGTTGCAAGGTCGGATGTCGGCGGGATCAAGACCCATTTTATCAAAGGCTTTCAGCATCAAAATACTTGAGTAGGCTCCGGTGTCAACCATAACACGGTGAACCGGAATTCCGCATATCGGAACGGTAATGACGAGTGCGTCAGAGTGCGGATGCGCGAAGTGATTTGCGTCTTCCATATTGAAAGTAATAGGGCAATTTCGGGCATTGAGGACTTCTCGATAATCGGTGGTGAAAACTTGCTTACCCGAATTATGATCCTGCCGAGCGTAAGCTTCAATTTGACGACGGGATTTTACACACCGGGGATTATTAGTGTTTACTCGGTGGACAGTGATCTGCAAAGGACTTGGTGATCGATTCCTATTAAGTCCTTGAGAATTCCCGGTTGAATCGACATTAAGAACATCCGAGGTGAACATGAATACTTCCTTCTCTCCTTGTCAGATTCGTTTTGGCATGGCACCTCGGTCTTCTTCCTCATCGTCATCATACGGTTCAATTTGACGTCCTACCCCCTGTTTCTGTGTATCGGAGTTGCGATAAAACTTCCTGAGTTGCGGATAATCGATTAAGCGCAACAGAGCAGCTAACAGGCTTAGGCACTCATCGGTGTTGTGTCCCGGCGATTTATGATAGTCACAGTAACGTGACTTGTCTAGCTTTTCTTCAGGCATCCTGAGTGGCTTGGGTTCGGGCAAGATGCCCTTTCCTTTTATCTCTTCATAGATGGTGGCAGCCCCAGCTGAATAAACGGTTTGGTAACCAGATTTCACGTCGTTAGCGTACTATTTCCAGGCCGCCCTGATTTTGGGGTCGTTGGCATCTCCCCGGGGGTAACCTCAAAATTGAGCATTGTTTTGCTTGTCAAAGGATTTGTTTTTCTTCCTGTCATCGGTTCCCGACTTGGATGACTTCGGATTGAAATTAAAATCGGGGACCGACATCGCTTCCTCGGCAATAATATGTTGATGAGCTCGGGCGAGGAATTCCTGGAAGGTGTTTGGCTTGTTCTGACATAATGTCCAGCGAAAAATAGAATTCGGTTTCAACCCGGCGATCGCCATGACAAGCAGAGTTTCCGGATGACATGGCTCCATGTTTTGAACTCGGTCATTAAATCGAGCAATATAATCCTTGACACTTTCGTCATCTTTTTGAGTTACATTAGCAATAGACTCTTTCGGAACCAAACAAACTTGGGCCCCAATGAAGTGAGATCGGAAGGCCGACCTTAGCTCTTGCCACTTCCAAATAGAAGTAGGGGGTAAAGAGTGGTACCATTTTTGAGCTCAAGGCCCCAGCGTGAGGGAAAACATGCGACACCGAAGTGCGTCTGAGGCCCCATGGAGATTCATCCATGATGTGTAATGACCGAGGTGAGAGTCACGATCCGACGTTCCATCGTATAATCCAATTTGGGGGACTTTAACTTTTCCCGGTACTGGCTCTGAAGTGAGCTCGGGGGTTAAAAGAGAGTCGGATTCTAAGTATACTTGTGCCGAGGTGGTGGCTTGTCGTGGAGGATCTTCTTGTGCCCTCTGCCGACTTTCCAACTCGGCAATTCTTCGTCGTAACACCTCTAATTCCATGGATTCTTGTCGAGTTGACTGGTTTCTTTTGATTTGTTGACGAAGATCTGTTCGAGCCCGGATGGGGATGAGCTCGAGGCTGCGCGGGTGGTGGAGAGCGCCGTGGTGGCTCTGATTGACTTTCAACAGTTTCTTCATGTGGAACCACAGGGGGAGTGCACGCCGTCTCGGCGTGAAGCGCTACGCGTTCCTGGTGTGGCTGCGACGTTTGAGTACGAGGCTGGGACGTGGCATGAGAAGTAGTCCTACCTCCGTCTCATCGGCTAGATGGAATTCTCGAGTTTGCAGGGGTAGTAGGGAAGATAGATTGTCCCGGCGCCGTCGTCGATATCCCGGGGACAGTTTGGGCCATCAAAGCGGCGAACCCGCGCGCAAACTCTGGATTTTGAAACAAAGTAGTATAGTCAGGCAGGTTGGGTATCACCGCAGGGCGCCTGGCAGATTGAGCGCTACGACTGTGTCCGTCGCGCGACGTATGACCACGATGATCTGAATGAGACTTGTTTACAGTGATTGATGTGGCTAAGGAGCCAAGGATTGCAGATTAACCTCAAACAACTTATGAGGTCCTTCCTCTAGCACCAAACTGTTGTTATGTGATTGTTAACAACGATTATGGATATGATTATTTAAATATGTTGGGTGATTTGAATGTAAAACATGCAATCAAAACGAAAACAATGGCCTCGGTCCGAGGTGAACCGAGGTGAAAAGCTACAGTGAGCTGTTTCGTGTTTCGGATAAAAAATCATTTCGGGGGTCCCCATACAAGTATATGAAGCAACTATTTATAGTAAATTTTTGAGATACAAATATCGGGATTTGTGCGATGCCTTTTTCGTAAAGTTGCTTTTGGTGGACGGTATCGTCAGCGTGTCCCACTTGAATGATGGAAGATCTCGTGGTTCGTAGAG